TAAGGCGCGAATGGAAGAGCGAACCGCTGGATCTGCGACCGGCCGCCGGGTGTGGGAACGTTTGGTGTCGTGGTCATCCGGACCGGGACAAGGGTGAAACAACACCAACAAGAACCAGCACACTCTTTCGACAACTGCTTGTAGCACACGGAACTGCGCAGCTTCGTCCTGGAACTCTCCCGTTTCCCCTCCTCATTGGTACCCAACATGACAAGCTGGAGAGGGTGGTGGTATACCATCCCTCACATCAGGGGTGCTGTGCGTAGTCTCTGGAGCATTACACTACGGGACGGCTTTCTATGAATATTGGAAATGAATATAATGAGGGAAGAACAGTCCCTACTAGTAGATGTAGTGCGGGAGGCACGGGCTCCCGTACTCGCTTACTGAACGCAGAGCTCTATGCAAGCACTCTCTACGGGGACCATTCTGAACCCGGAACCCTGGCAGTACTGCGGAGTGCGCTCCGCGGTACTGACACGGCTCCCAATCGACCAAGAAATATGGAACACGGACAACAAGTACAAAACGGTGAAAGAACAGTTAGAATGATGAAACATTGATGCTTAGCTCTCGGAGAAGGCTGACAGCATTCATTCATTCAGAGAATGGCTCTGACACTGCACGAAGTCTGTGTTCAAGAAAAATCGATGCGACCTGCGCTCAAGTGCACCAGCGAAAACGGAAACCACTTCTTTTGTCATACTGAAAACTGTTTTACACTAGTGTGGCGACAGTTGCATTTCCATGAGAATAAAAGGACACACATCCTGCTGTCTGGGTGCTCTCCGGCGCTAAGAAATTTACAGGTGTTAGTTAGGCCCCTCTGTCTACCTATGGTTAGATTGGCACTGCCGGCGACAGCATTTCCATTACGTGCCTATGCTGGGGTTTAGGGCCAGGGTGGAAGTCCACCTCACGCTAGGTTTGCCGCTGAACGAGCTCATTAAAATGCGATTCCCAGCCTAGGTGCAAGGCACAAAGTGGCGTACTGACCTATGGCGACGCGTTGCCCTGCTGCAACGCCATGTG